TGAGACGTATTCCGCTGGATCGCGAAGACGGGACATTGATCTCATATCCGAACTGCGAAGTTCGACGAGATATTAGGTGCGTCGGTGGAACTTCAGAAGACGTCGTTTCAGCGCTCTGTTGGTTGTTCGGAGTTCCTTCGATGTAGCCACAGTGTCAGGCCACGTCTCTGCTGCGTGACAGAGCGCAGGGAGAACGCTTGAACCAAACAGGTGGGCTCGGAGCTCTGGGTCCGTCAGCTGATCTGTGGCTTCCTCTAAGGGCCCCAAGGCGCCCAAGCTGCTCTTTGCTTCCTGCCTCCTTCAGATCGTTCTCTATGTTCATCGAAGTTCGAGAGATACGTAAGAAGACGTCTCCGTCTGGAGAGCCTTCCGATTCCATTTCCTCCTTACAAAAAGCGTTCTCTATGAACTGAGAATTATTACGGTTAACTCGCAGTCCTATTCGCTTTTCTACTTGTTTATTTCTTTCAACATTGTCTCCGCTGCAGTGATATTCCTCAAAAAGAGAACAATGTCGTCCGCAAAACGGTGGTTCGAGAGCAATCTTCCACCAACTCGATCTTGTTCCAGTCCAGTGATTTTATCACTCACTGCAAGGCAGCGATGAACAGCTTTGGCGACACGGTGTCGCCTTTTCGAACACTCTTCGGAATTGGTATAAGGGAACTATGGAAAAGCTGTACCGTCGTAGAGCAGTTCTCGTAACAGTCAATGTCCTCGCGTAAGATGGGTCCACTTCTTTGTCGAAGAGCGCTGACAGTATGGTATTAGTCACGACGCTGTCAAACACTTTCTCATAGTCGACGAAGGTAGGACGAGCGGTAGGCGGTACTCTGCAAACCTCGATAATCCTCCTGTCTGCGTGTGATCCGCGCAGCTAAATTTCCTGCGAAATCCAGCTTGTTGTACAGGTTAGATTTCATCCAGTGTCCCTGATATGCGAACGAGAATAATCTTCGCGAAGAGGTAAAGCACGCTCAGCAGGCGCATTGGACGGTAGTTCTGAAGATCATCCTTATCGCCCTTTTTATGAAGAAGGATTGTTTGAGAAATTCTCCACTAGTCAGGGATCCTTTCCTTTTGAAGATAAGAAATTAGATGTTCCGCAAGTAACTCGTGTAGGCGATGTCCTTCGGCTGGTAAGAAGTGAACTGAAATATGGTCCAGATCCGAAGCTCTAGAATCTCATCATGCATCTTTTGTCAGGAAGATGTGCGAGTCCCTTCTTCGTTTAGTAATGTTGTAGCAGAGGCAGTCGAGAAGGTACTTCTTTAGTTTTCCTTCCTTGTGCTGCTTCCAAAAGTTTCGATTGCCTGTACTTTCGAAGATCTTTTTGTAAAGCTGTTCTGCAACTGGTATTGGCTCATTCAAGATGTGATGCAGTCGAGTCCAACCTCAATGCACTCCTCCTCTCTAGCAGATCCTTGGTGTCTTTCGAGATTCGTTCCAAGTTCCTTGTCTGAATCGGGCTCTTTCATTACAATCCCTCAGTCGTCTGATGTGCAGGTCGTAGTCCTTCGTTAGGTCCTACGATTTCTCTCCTTCCTCCAACACGCTGGCAGACCTTCTTTTCCAGCTTTCGGCTA